GGGATTTTAACTTCCAGAACTGCATCCAAATGTTCAGTAACATTATAAACATTACAATTTTGTATAATTTTGAAAGATCATTTCACCTTTCACCCTCTGAGACCTGAAGAAAGTAATATTTCTGAGCAGTGACTGATGGTATAACCAGTGACTGCATTCAATAATCTTCACCTGACACTTGTTATAATAACTCCTGTGATAAATTGCTTAATGTGTAAATGTGGAGTGAGTGTCACACAGTTAACATGTGTTTTTTTTTAATAATCTTAGTTAGTGTTATAATACCAAAGCAAAAGCAATGGAAAATGACTGTTTCACCACATCAACATGTGACAAACATTTAAATGAAACCACAATATAATACACACCGAAACCACACAATCATAAGATTAAACAACAGCAAGCATCGCAAAGAGTAAGAATAATAAGGTAAACATTTGTAATATAATAAAATTGAATAAATAATTAAATTGTCAAAGAAAAGAAAAAAGAACACAGACTCTCTTGAAGAAACACACACAGGTTATTTGCTTCAGTATAGTAATGTTTCTGTCACGGAATGCACACAAAAGATAGATCCAAGTGCAGTTTTATTATATGGTAATCCGTATCCATAGTCAGCCAGGCAAGGGTCAACATCCATACAAACAGTCCAAGAAACAAGAAACGAAACAAAGTGAAACAGGGAAGTGCAACACGACAGAAAACAAGGAATCCACAATGAACAGAAACAGACAGGGTATTTATACACACAGAACTAACAGGATGATGGGAAACAGCTGTGTGCAATGATCAGATGATGAGTGCAGACAAAGGATTATGGGAATTGCAGTTCATGATGAGTGTGTGACGATATGGGGAAGAGACCTCTAGACCTCTAGTGGACACCCAGGGAAACACAAACCAGACACTGTGGGTGCTTTTTTTTTCTTTTTTTTTACGCTTTTATTGTCAACAACAGGTAGCATGTACAGTGTCATATCTCATTTAACAAACAAATAATTCACATGCCTCAACAAGAAGAAAAAAAATAATAATAAAAATAAAATAAAAAGATGAGAGGGTACATAAGCATCAGTTTACAAATAGATATACATTATACATTTAACAATTCCACAGGGTATTCCAATGCAATTTAAATACAGATAATATACTTTACAGATCAGCACCATTCATTATATTTTAAATTTTTATATTATGTGAAAATGTTAAAGGAGGCGCATATATTAATCACTTTAATTGCTTTACTATTTTTTGATTTTGACATCATGTCAACATACATTTTAATCTCTTTCCCAAGCACCATAAAAAGAGGTTTGCCTTTTGTAAACTTGCATTTATGAATGTGAAATTTACATAGAAATAAAATAAAATTTATAATAAAACCAACATCCTTTAAAGAGCGATCCTTAATATAATAGCCCAAAATCACATGTTTGTACGATAATTTAAATGTTTTTAAAATATTATCAGCAATGAAAATCTCCACATTATTCCAAAAATACTGGGTATATTGGCAAGACCAAAACAAATGAGAGATTGTTTCAGAGGAGCATTCACAGAAAGAACATTTTAAATCAATATTAATTTTAAATCTTTGTAGGAATACCTTTGTAGGATACACTCTATGAATTAATTTATATGAGATTTCCTTAACCTTATTTGTAAGGAGGAATTTTTGAGGTAATGACCAAACTTGAGTCCAATTTACATTACTAAAGAAACTGTTCCAGTAGAAAATAACATAAGGCGTAGAAATAATCTCTCTTAAAAACAAGGATCTAATTTTGTAATTGTTAGGCTTTAACCCAGAGAAACAAATATTGCCGACATAAGTATGTTCAGGTCTAGGAGGACAGACAGAGAGTGTGGATGTATATACACTGCTTTTGAACAGCATCTGTACACCTGCAGGTATTGCCTTAGTAAGCACCTTGAATTCTTTTAATGTAATAGGTATGTTGTACATTGAGATAAAATCTGCAAACGTAAATAAATTCCCTTCATTATTAAATAACTGATTCACTAATAACAACCCATTACTAAACCAATTATGAAAAAATAAAGACTTATTTCTATTCAAAATGTTGGCATTATTCCAAATAAGAAAACTATGAGGGGAGAAGTTGTGTTTATAAATAAGACTCCAATTAGCGAGTACTTGTTGGTGAAACTTAGAAAGTTTGATTGGTAGTTTTCCAATTTTGTAATTACACATCAAAAGAAATTCTAGGCCACCCACATGAGAAAAGATAAACCGAGGAATTATATTCCAAATAGATGAAGAGTTTTGAAGGTATTGTCTTATCCAATTTATTTTAAAGTTACTGTTTAGAGAACTAAAATCAATAAAATTCAACCCGCCTTTGTCATATGAATTCAGTATTACTGATTTTTTTATATAATGAATTTTGTTTTTTCACAGGAATTTTGTCAATATACCGTCAATTAGTTTACATGTGTGTTTGTCAACAGAGATCGATTGAGCGGCATATGATAATCGAGAAATGCCCTCTGCTTTAGTAAGCAGAACTCTGCCTTTAAGAGATAAATCTCTTAACAACCAATGGTTCAATACCTTACGTGTCTTTTCAATAATCGGACGAAAATTGGAAGGGCATCTAATTTTATCATCTTTGATTATTTTAACTCCCAAATAAGTAACACTCTCTCTCACAGGAATATTACAAATTAAGGACTCTAGACAATTACCAACTGGGAGTAACTCACATTTGTTTATGTTAAGGCGAAGACCTGAGGCTTTAGAGAAGGGCTCAAGAGTCTCTAATGCTACCGCAACCTGCGAGGTATCCTTTAAAAACAAAACGGTGTCATCAGCTAACTGACTCATTACCACTTCAGTGTCATCAACAGTTATTCCTTTTAAAGGGCTTTCTCTGATATGCAAATTTAGAAGTTCGGTAGCTATCAGAAACAGATATGGGGAGATTGGGCATCCCTGTCTGACTCCCCGATTCAGAGTAAATCTAGGAGAGGTACCACTGCTGAGTTTTATAGAGCTATTGCAATTAGTAGAGCATTTTAATAGATCTACAAAAGAAGTCACCAAATCCCACCTTGCGAAGAGTCTGCAACAAAAATTCATGCTCCAGGGAATCAAAGGCTTTATAATAGTCTAAGAAGAGAATAAGACTATCATTAGAGAACAATTCAGAATAATCTAGAATGTCTAAAACCAGACGTATATTATTAAAGATGTGCCTATTTTGTAAAAAGCCAGATTGACATTCATCAATTAAATTATTCAAAACACATTTTAATCTTTTTGATAAAACCAAAGCAATAATTTTATAATCGTTATTCAACAATGTAATTGGCCGCCAATTATCATTTAACAAGGGATCTTTATTAGGTTTTGAAATTAAAGTTATAAGTCCTTGACACAAAGTCGGAGGAAGCAGGGCTCTTTCTATACTCTCTTTAAAAACTTCAAGCAAAAAAGGGGATAAAAGTTTGTTAAAAGCTTTATAAAACTCAGCCGTTAATCCGTCTGTTCCTGGAGACTTATTATTTTTCAAAGAGTTAATTGCATCAGTAATTTCTTGTAAACTAAGAGAGGCTTCACATATGTTGAACTCTTCATTATTAATCTGCTTCATATTATGTAAGGACTCTAAAAACTCAGTAGTAGATTGTTGACAGAAATTAGAAGCATACAAATTACTATAAAATTCAGAACAAAAATTTGCAATAATTTTAGGGTCCTCCACAATATTATCCTTAATCCTTAATTTTTCAATGTGATTATTTTTAGCTTGTTGCCTCTCAAGTCTAAAAAAATAAGCAGAGCTCTTTTCGCCCTCTTCAAGCCACTTCCTTCGAGACCTAACAAACGCTCCTTCGGCCTTTTGTTTGTAGATCTCCTCTAGTTTAAGCTTCTGTGCAGTAAGTTCTGCTTTATCGACTTCTGATAATTCTTCTATTCTTTTGGATACTAAAGTAGAAATTTTAAGTAAAATGTCATCCTCGTCAGCTTTTCTCTTTTTAGCAAGCTCGCTACAGTGCCTCCTAAAAAAAATTCCCACTTCGAATTTGAGAAGTTCCCAATTACTACAATATTTTTTTTCAATTTTTGCTTTATTCCAATAAATTTAAATAAGTTTTTCTATTCCAGTGATTACTTCTTTATGTTGAAGTACTGAATTATTTAATTTCCAATATCCAGACTTTTGAGTTAAATTTACAGAAGAACTAAAGGGAATACTGATTGAAATAGCCTTGTGATCCGAGAATGGAGATGGTATTATATCAGTAACAATATTAACCAAATCCTTAGACGTAATCCAATAATCAATCCTGGACTGACTAGATAAGGAGTTATTACTCCAAGTAAAGCATTGTTGTGTTGGGTGCACTCTGGGTGCTTCTCATTTCTTATTTGTGCATCCTCATTTCCTTTCCTCACGTCTCAGCTCCACCCCCTGTAGGACGCGAGGGAAGGCTGCAAGGAAAATAAATTAGGACGGAGGAATTGAATGAAAGCTTTTTTAATACATTGGAATACTTGATCACTCGAGCGTCACTTCACTGCGTCATCAGCAGCGCTCAAAGGATCTGCCCTTATGTTGTTAAAGTTAGTTTATTTAAGAAATTAATAATAAATAATAATAAAGCAAGATACCTTGTTGAAATATGTGAGTTGTGTGGTTTATGTAAACTACAAAAGTAAAGTATAAATTCAAATGATTGTGACAGATGTGAAGGGGGAGGAGAATTGATACGTGCGTCACGTTTAGTCGATAAAACTCTTCCGAAAAGGGTACACCTGTGTATCCTCGCTCATAGCTCCTCTGGAAACCTCCTCGCTCCTCGATCCTCGCGGTGCAATTAGAGAATTGAGATGTCCTTCAAGATGGCTGAGCTCGATTGGTTTCCGGGTCATAGGATGGAGGACGGAGGAGCGAGGAGACGAGGAGGGATATTGAGAAGCACCCTGTGACAGTTGCAGTGGCTGCTTTACACTGATCCTGTTGGAATCCTCTCAAATGTCACAATCTGTATTTTTATTCTGTAAGGAGTGAGTGAGAGAGAGAGAGAGAGAGAGAGAGAGAGAGAGAGAGAGAGAGAGAGAGAGAGAGAGAGAGAGAGAGAGAGAGAGAGAGAGAGAGAGAGAGAGAGAGAGAGAGAGAGAGATCTGTTTAGACACAATCTGCACACCTGTCATCTATCAGTGAATTAGATTCTGGTAAATGAGTGATTTGTCATTAGGATGAGTTTGCCGGTACAGATTTAATCAAACACAGATCTATGATCTATAGTAGTTCAGTACACTATCTTACCTCATCTTTTTCCAGTTCTTTGTAAGGTCTTTTGATTTTCTCCCTGCCTGCTTTAAAAAATAATAATATAGTGATTCATTTGATTTCGTTATTGTGTCCAGTTGTTTGTGTATCACGCACGCTGTTACTTCGTCTTGGATTACCCTGTTTATTCTATTATTACGTCACGTTTTGGTTGTTTCATGTTCTTGTTTCATGTCTGTAATGTGATCCCCTGTTCCTGCAATAATTAAATATGTTAAATAATACAAATATACGTTATGTATTTAAGATCACTTTATTAACCAATGTCTTTGACCTTCGATGATTCAATTCAATCATACTAACAAGTAACAATGGCTTTAGATAAACAACACATTTGTGTTTCATTTTTGTTTTTATAATGAAACTTTTTTTCTACTGCGTCCTGTTCTTCTGCAATCCGGATCAGAGCTGAGAGGTTTGTTTGAGCGGCGCCCTCTACTGTACACGTGTGGATTCGCATTTACATTTACAGTCTGAGGATTATTCATTTCACTTTTGTTGCGACTGACCAATCAGAATCAAGTATTCCAGAGAGCAGCATTATAATTATGTGTAAAACACATAGGGCCAGTTTCACTAACAGCTTGAGTCAGTGCAAACCTTCTTTTGGTGTTAAACAACTACTGTCAGGATTTACTAAAGACAAGGGTTATTTTTGCAGCTGACCTTATTGCATTTGCATTTGGAGGAGAAATGATCCGGCTGCGTCTGAATTGCGCTCTCGCGGTAATATGCCCTGTTTAGTGAATCTGGCCCCATAATGTTTTCCTCTCACTAAAGTATCCTATAACACTGACCCTTTCTAGAGCGGTGATAGTGAATCACACCAGCAGCCGCAGACACCATCAGCAGAACAGCAGCACTTACTCCTGCGATCACAGCTGGAAACACGCCTGGATCTATAGAGACAAACAGACATTAGTGTGAGAGAATATGACTGTTTATATAATATTCATTGGATATTCTCTATGGACATTATATCTCTATGGACACTTTTACATTGTAATGTGAAAGGCTAACTCCTCTATTCCAATGTGAAATAATCCCACAATAGTTTATGAAATCTGGGTATGTTACTAAATCATTTTTTTGCAAAGGAGAATTAGAGATTAACTTCCCCTGTTCACAACTAAACTATCTGTGCTTTAAATCTACGCATGCGGATCTAGTAACCCTCCGGTAACGTCGAGAGATGCCTGACATCTGTCATCGTGAACTTTACATCTGTTTGTAAAGCCGTCATGTTTATGTTTGCCTTTCCAGTATATCCATCAGCGTTATTCATTATTTATCACATCTTTTTTTATAAGGAGGTTTTTATGAGGTTTGACAAACAATATTTATATATATTTTGTGTTTAAATCAAATTCATATGTTTTAAACAACAGGAATCGTGTCGTATGTGAACTATAAAGTCAAGCTCCCCTAAGAACAGTGCATACATAAAGTGTAGTACATATTATGCAATCTATTAATATATTTAAAAAAACATACTCAAGTCAACCGCATGCTTCTCCATGTAAAATTCTTCATTGGTTTCGTCCTGATCAGACAGAGAAGCTGGAAAACACAAACCAATAAAAAATAAAGCAATACGAAAGAACACAAGAATTTTGTTCGTTTTTGATGTAGGATTGTAAGTAGGGTCACAGGATTTTAATGTCATATATTCACAAAATATTTCTCCTCAAAATGATTGAGCAGAGTCATCAAATATTCCGTTTTTATGTTGATGAACTATGTAAATTAACAGGTGTCACAGTTCTCTTTATTTAGTTTCATTTTCATGGACTTTTAGTGTTTTAGTACAAGAAACTGTCTAATACATCATGGAAGATGGACAGTTTGAAAATATGTGTAATTTAAATATTAAATATTCAGAATATAATTCAACATCTCTTATGACAAATAAACAATAGACACATGTTTGCAATGCATGTCATTCCTCTGATATATGAAAGAGACTCTATCACATCCTCTATGTGTCACATTATGGCAGGAAGAAGGTGCAGAGATTTCCAAAATGAAGGTTTTTATTCCAAGAATAAACACAGAGTCCAAGCGGAGCGACAGTGTGATCGACACACAAACACACACATGCTCTTGTACGAACACTAACACACACAACAACCGACCACAGATAATGAATGGGGAGGAACTTAAACACACAGAGGAATCAAACTAAACCAGCTGTAGGAATAATCAGTGTTTACAGAAACTCATGAGTCACGGGATATAAAGACAAAGAAACACATGACTAGTGAAAGCGAAACTAAAAGTCCATGAAAATGAAACCAACTAAACAGAACTGTCACAACAGCATGCCTTTGACGTTTAATGTGTTTTTATATTATCTTTCATATTCTAATATTTTATTCCTTTAAAAAAAACTTTATGGTAAATAACATTGTGTGACTCACCCCTGACGGTCACGCTGTATGTTTTTATGGTGTCATCATGAGAGCTGCTGATCTTTCTGGTGATTTTTGTGCTGTCACACTTCCGGTTTCTGTTCAAGCTTTGCCTTTTGCCTGAACTTTCGCTTCTGATAATCTCTGCTTCATAACGTCCAACGTGTTCAGATCTGATGTTTGTGATGGTCAGAGATCCGGTCTCATAGTCCACCTCCAGTCTGCCTCTGAATCTCCCGTCTTCTCCATCATATAAACAGCTCGTACTGGGATGTCCGTTGATCAGAGCTATGCGAGTGTCTTCAAAATACCACAGTATCTTGTCGCGTTGTTGTTTGGTAACACCAGTGTTTAGAGTAACAGAATCTCCCTCCATCACTGACACTGTCGTCATTTCATCACAAAACACACCTGAGGACACAAATAAACAATGAGGCTTCTTGTGTCTTGTGTCTGTGTGTGTGTACAGATTTCAACACATAAGAATATATAACCTGAAATCAACTACATTGTGTAGATCAGCTAACCATCCCCATGAGGAAAACAGATCAATAAACATAATAAAACAAACAAAGCATGAGCACCCTCAGTTAATATTGTAAAAACACCATATTGACGAAACAGATTTGCCAAATGATTTAAAACATATAAGGCTTTGCACTCTAGACTAGAATGTCAAATGTTTCTATTTACCGTGTGTTTTTGCAGCGGTGAGCAATGTAGCCAATCACAGACATGTTTGTTGTTCTCTTGAACGCAGTGGCCAATCAGAGGTGTTTCATTTAGTCAAAATGTCAGTACCACTCAAAAACGCAAGAGTTTTTGTTCATTACTATACACAGCGAATCCTCTCATTATAATAAACGAAGTGTAGACACAATGTAAATAAGAGATTCATTGTGTAGACAGCTTCATTAGTTATAACGGAACTTGTGAGATCGAGATGAGTGACAGCTTCGTGGGGATTCACCGAAATTTTGGCCGCCGAATTATCGGCCGAAAAGGGCATTTTCGTTTTTTGGCCAAAAGAAAAATAAGCCAGAAAATATAAGCCAAAAATATGCCGCGCCGCCCCTCTGTTCAGCGATCAGGTTTCACTCTGGTTCAGCATGTTTTGCGGCTCCGCTTCCGAAGATACACAACTTCAAAGCGACTTCAGTGTTTCGTTGTGTGTGCGCTGCGCTCTCCGGTCCGTGTGCACAGTGCAAGTTCTCTGGACTTGTTTCTGATTGCAATAGCCTAGTCTCAGCCTCAGACGTCTCGCCCATGGACCGTTGGCTGAACGTCTGATGCATATGGCACACTTTTCTGGAAACACTTCAGGAGTTTCGAAGTCGCGATCTGATTGGTTGAATTCTACAGGATGTCCGGGAGACGTGTGTGTAGCGTTCTTTAACGGTCCGCCTGGAAACAAATGCCGTGACGCCAAAACCCCTCGTGGAAGAAGAAAGCCAACGTGTTTACAACTGTGACAATGAGCTTTTACCAGGATCAACTAAACGCTGGATTTTCAAAATTATGTGAATATTTGCATGCTTTCTATATCATATTCAGAATTTAAATCACCTATATTTTTTGTTCATGCTGCTAAGAGGACTAACGGAAACCTACACAACACAAAGTTTCCTATCCACCTGTTTCCGGGGGGGCGCTACTGTAAAAAAGAAAATGTGTACAACTTCCGGTGAGGCGGCGAAAGAGTTTAGTTGTGTACAGTTTAGTACATTTATTAGTTAATTAATAATATAACAATACAATAATACATTTTCGTGCCCTTAATTGTCCTTACTTTACTGACCTTCCACAAAAGTGCTGCTGCATCACTACAAGAGCGTCCTGGCCCTGCAATGCATGAACAACCCACTCTCTGTTCTTCACCTGTCACTGATGCTAGCACCCAAGCCTTATGATGTCAGCTTTTAGATACACAAGGTCGTTTCCGACGTCCTTAATTAACACCGACCGACTTTATCACTGTGTAAATACTGATATGGCTCTGAGCTTATCAAATTGCTCATCTACTTACCATCACAGGCTACTGAATCTACAAAATAGCTAAAAATACCATACGTGATACGAGGCCACTTCTTCATGTCATCCTCCCAACCATCTACTGCGGAGGGTAAAGGTACTGTTATTTCACCCTATTTAATTTCGTTGAGGTTGTGTTCCCACATCGTTAGCAAGTTTGGATCGCTATATCTTGAATGCCTGTCAACTGTTGAATGAATGAGTATCACGTCCAACTTGTTTACTTCGAACCGGAAAACGCGCCCATTTTTGACGCAAGGTCTCATGGGACGTAGGAAACTTGTGGATACATGTGGGATTCACCATAGATATCCATAATAAAGGCTAGATGTCTTACGGCGGAGTCTCTATCGTCATCACCGGCGGCCATCTTGTCACAGGCAAGCTTTCTCTTGACACAGTGAAGTTAGGAAAGATGTCAGAAAAACATGTGGATTGAGCAATGTAAATGCAAACTATTAGACTAGGTAAGTAGAAACATATTCATGCTGTTCATCTCACTGTAGCTCAGTGGTGGAAAGAGTACTAACAAATTGTACTTAAGTAAAAGTATTGCTACTTAAGTAATAATTTACTTGAGTACAAGTAGAAGTACTGAAAAATAATATGACTCAAGTAAGAGTAAATAAGTATTTGCTTTAAAACTACTCAAGTACTACAAAGTACTTTAGTATTATTTTTCTACCGGTATTTTTACCCAAAATGGGGAGATGATAGCGATATTGAGCGCGAAACACAAACCTCATCTGTTTCTTTCACACTGGAAGCCCAGTACTGATTCATGATCCCTCACGCAGAAAGTCCACAAGTGAGATTCATAGAAGTATTAAACTACATAAAGGAAATGCCTTTTATAATAACATGCAAACAGGGACGTTTTGACTGAAACATGAAGACAAACACATGATAGCAATAATATATGTGTTCATCAAGCTATCTCAGGTATTTTCATAAGAATGATGTATGTATTTAAAGGGATAGTTCACCCAAAAAGGGAAATTAGCCCATGATTTACTAACCCTCAAGCCATCTTAGATATTACATTCTTCTTTCAGACGAATGCAATCAAGAGTTATATTAAAAAATGTCCTGACTCTTCCAAGCTTTACAATGGCAGTGAATGGCTGGAGAAAATTTGAAGCCCAAAAAAGTGCATCCATTCGTGATAAAAGCGCTTCACTTTTACTCCTGTGGTGCAAGTCGAATTGCGTAGTATGTGTACGGTCGTCTGGCGGAAGCAAGTTATTTTAGATTATAAAATAATAAATATGGGTATTTTTCTTACAAAAACCCAGGGCTTCGCTTCCGAAGGCCTTTAGTAACCCACTGGAGCCGTGCAATTTGTAATTAGAATTTTTTTCCAGCCATTCACTCCCATTATAAAGCTTGGAAGAGCCAGGACATTTTTGAATATAACTGTGATTGTATTCGTCTGAAATAAGAATGTTATGTACACC